CTTTTACTTGCTTTTAGCTTACCACGTGCTAGGTTCAAATTACTGCGAATCTTTCAGCTTTGTTCAGCTTTTTTTCCGTTGGTACGTATGCTACATTTGTGTTTGTTTGCTAAGCCGCTTTTGGTATTTTTCGGCAAAAGCACACAAATCATGTTTGCATACAACATACCACGAAAGTATGCACCATACCGTTGCTACGCTCAAATTCATATGAGCGAAAAGAGGAAGAGAAAAAGTAGAACAGCACTGTAGCTGTTGAATAATAGATAAATAAAATGGTAAAACGAAAAACAAGTGTAAAATACACATGAACAAACACACAATTCCAATTGAATATGAGAGCGCATAAAACATTAATGGCTTCACCATTTTCGATTAGAGAGTGAGAGAGATGAAATCTAATGAAGTGTAGTAACAATGACTAATGCGATTTAGAAAGCATTTTACGCAGAAATCCCCATCTTACCTAATAGATTACCGTCATTTATTATGGCGTATGTGTGTTTGTTGCCAAATTTGCACACAAATCTATTTTTGCCCATCCCGAAAATATTCGCAATTCGACATTCACATAAAAACGGACATGAAAACACATCGATTTCGGTTCGGTATGCATACAGCCGCCACACACTATTTTGGGAGCACAAGTCATCGTTTCCAATCAAGCAACAATCGAAAAATCGACAACCATCGAACGAGCACCACTGTCACTGAACCCAAAAGTAGCAAATGGCAAAAAACAAGCCATTTTGGAATCGTCTAAATTACTTTGGTTTATTTCCAATGGTTTTGCTAATATACTTGGATGCTTTGCTAAATTATGGCTGATAAACTCTTATGGTATGGCTCTTTTGTGCGTATGTTTTTTGTTAAAATTTCCATTTGTTTGTGGGCAAGTACATAGCGCGCATTGGAGCGCAAATGGCATTATGTGTCCCATTCCGATGGTTCTTACACCCTCGTCCATCTCTTTCTCTCTCTTTCTCTCTCTCCCTCTTTCCCTGCCTTCTGTTGCTTCTGTTACCATTTGTCGAAGGGAGGTGGAGCATTTTCTAATCTTCATCTCTGCAAATTATAGTCATTGACTTAGCACATTCACACACTATTGATTTTTTTTCACTACAATTTGTCTTCATTTTCCTTCACATTTTCCATCTTAGCGACAAACAAATACGCACATAAACACAGAGACCCAACATCGCATCACAGCCACAAGCAATCCAATAAACTTTGAAAACGAGTATCGGAAACGCCTTCGAATCTTCTCAAAGTAAACGATATCACAAAATACAAGAACCACTCACATTTGCCATGCTACTCTCACACTCCACACTCGATGATACACAATCGTCCGATTCAGATTTGCGTTTCAACTTCCAAGCAACAAAGTGAATGCATTAACAATGAACGCATCTGCGGACGACGAAGAAGATGAAAACGCGACAACAGCCGCTACAAAGCTGACAATCTGATATTGTTATATTTACAGCAAACAAATTAAACTTTATTCGGGGATGTACTTGCCATCATCGCACAGTAATTTTTTACCATTTTATGGCACTCGAAAAGTAAACTCAAAAAGTAACTGCACACAAACACACTTACGTACCGACCGACCGAACCAAACCGACAAGTGAATTTGAGCTTTTCGTTTCGTACGTAACTTACTGTGCTATGTAAATCCGAATTTCAAAATGCCATTTAAAATGAACGGGAAAAAGAGAGATAACAAAGTGGATGTCATTCAACGGTATTTGTTCGCTTGAGCATCGTTTGATTTAACATTCACAGAAAATGATAAGATTGCAAATGAATTGCCATTAACTGTGATATCGTGCACATGTATTTGTGCGCAACGATTTCTCACGCTTTTATCGCAACACAAAGAAAGTGTTTGTAATGATATTTCCATTTTGCTCATACCAATGACGGAACGTTTAATTTAACAATTTAGACGATTTTTTGGCAAATTCACAAATTTTCATATTTAATTATCAAGTTTTCAACAAATTTAAGGAATTTTTCCACCGCAACCTTTCAATTTATATTTCGAATTTGTCTTATCAAAAGGCACAAGGAATCTCGAAATTCGAATCCATTCAAGCATTTCTACTATTGATTATGCTGAATTAATTTCGCACAGTTAAGTTTCAAAATCGGTTTTGAAGTGCAGCCGAACATACTCGAGAACCATCTCAATTGTTCTCACCAAAGTAACAAGATAATTGAAGCTTTTTGTGTCGTCATTTTCATTACAATGAACATTGTTGTGTTTTATTTCGTTTGTAACGCAAAAACACTTATTTTTGTTTCTGTTGTGAAGCTCTTAATGCCAATTATAGTTGTGAAATTGTTTCATGGTTTTTCAAGCCCTTATTGAAATTCGAAATGAGCTTGTTCGCCGAGCAGAAGGAGCCGTACGGAGTGAAAAAAAAGTCTCCGCCGAGCGGAAGTTTTATCGGAATTGTGATCGAACCAAAACCAATTTTGTTCTTATCACATGTGAGCATCGATTGTCACACATATGTCGAAAATGGAACGAAAACGAAACGGTTTTTGGCTTCAGCATGAAATAACATACGAACATTGCAATTTCGGGATTTGCATACAAATGGAAATATTTTCGATTTCAACACCGACACACGCAAGAGATAGCGAAAGAGGGGGAAAAAAAACCCGGAGCCATTAAATTGTCATTTGAAACTTTGAGTTCATCAAAGTGATTTTCAGCTAATCTTCGCATAAACACACGACCATACCCGTTGAATATATCGGTGATGTGTCTATTTCAAGCAGCTCGATTCGATTAAGTTTGGATCCTCTGAAGACTTGCTATCGACAATTGGAAATCTCACACTTTATCGAATCGTTGACCGAATTCGGTTTAAGTACATTTTCCTTGCATGATAACACTGTTGAAAACTTTGTCCCATTTGAAATGGTCACATGCTTATCCACAACCACCACTGACGGCGACCATCGACGCAAATCTACATGATGCGATTCATGGTGCAGGTGAATGGTGATAGTGGTGAATGGTGTCATAGTTTGATGAATGCGATTAGGTGAACAAATTTTGCCATTGCTCACACTCTTAGATAACATTTCTTCGAAAATCGAATTTGCACCGACGATATTTCACTTAAAGTCTTGCACAAATGATTCACATCCACCGTCAATCGAATAATCTAACAAAGCAGCCAGCTTTAATTATTCACCAACCCTGATATTTCCATGGCATTGACACACAATTCGATTCAAAATAGACTCAGAGACTCAAATTGATGATACCAAACATAGAATAGCATATAAACTATACCAACAATTTAATGTGATTTTGAAGGGTAGAAAAAAAAATTTGGAAAAAACCTTTTTCGTCTTGGTCTCTAACGCCAATAAACGGAAATCGAGCAGACGAAAATAGTTGTCACCGATTTCAATGTGAATGACTTCATATTTATTAGCCTGTCTGGTTGGCTACGAATGAGTCTGTGTGTATGTAATTTTTTTTCTCTCGCTCCCTCTCCGCCATTTGATTGATATGCAAACGACACGACTAAATAATGTTTCCACTTATATGCTATAATCACGATTAGCAACCGTTTAAGTTTGCCAGCATTCGACAAAGTGAAGCGAAAATGGATGGAAAACAGGACACCTTTTGCATGGATATTTGTTTAAATCACTTGAAATCAAATTCGATCGAAATTCATTTTGGTAATTGTGGTGCATGTGACACGATCTCTCTCTCTCTCTCTCTCTCTCTCATTCAAATCACTATCGTCTCTATTCTGAAAAAATGAATCGAGGAAGCGAAAATAAATTTCGACATCGGGAATCGAGTGACAGTGGCCGCTTTATTTCCGTATTTGATACGTGGCACATTGCAGTGGTTGCCATTATATTATCGGCACTCCAAATGTGTCGATGACGACGACGAAAACGAAAAAGTCGAAAGAGAAAGAAAAATCCACTTTGGCAAAGGGTCGAAGCAGGTTGCGGTGACAGCACCACAAAGCAACAGCAACATTAAAATGTGCCGGGTGAAAATAAAGGAAAGTGCTGCAGTGTAAAGTGTATTTCATCAGCAAGCATTAGCGTGTAAAAATGTTGAAGAGGCGAGCAAGTGAGCGAAAAAAAGGAGATTGCGACGACGACGACGACGACGACGACGACGAGAATGAATGAAAAAGTTGAACAGTGTGTAGCTGAAAAGCTTTGTGTTGTGTGAATTTCTCATTTTTTCTGTGTTCGTTGCTCGATTGCTTTGTATCTTTGAAGCAAATAGAGAGGAACAAAAAGCGGTGCAGCTCCAGCAGCAGCAGCAGCAGCAGCAGCAGCATCAACACAAAAAGGATTTTCATCCGGTTTTTCTCTCGCCTTGCGAAAATTACAAAATGCTATAAATTCGGGTGGATTAACGCTAGACAAATTTTTATCCATTTCATTTACATACACACACACACACGCGTCGATGTACGCATACTATTATTCACTTCTTTTTTTTACCCTCTATCTCCTCCCGTTGCCAGATTTTGCAACATTTTTTGTGGTCGAAATAAAAGAATCGAATGAAAGCGAATAGACAAAATGGACGTCGTTTTTTCTCACTCTATCTCTTTCCTTTCCTGTGTCACTCTGTAAGCAGAGGCGAGTGTTGATCCCCATACAGACACACACATACGAAAATAACGCAGCAATTTGCAAAGGGTATGAAGGCAACGATAGCATAGTATCAACTATGAATAGCTTGTTTTCTCGGGTGATTTTGTCGAAAATCCAACAATTTCAATAATCAAATGTTTCTCAACAACGGAACAAAGAGAACGGCATACATTTCCGCACATTGTTTGTTGTGCATTCTATTTCATCGAAAGAGAAAAAGGATTTTATTTCTGGTCACAAATATCCTGATTTTGTGCATGTGTAATGCACCATTGCGAGGAAAATGAGAGAAAATATTTAGAAGAAAAAAAAACAGTAATATGCATAACACTTACAGTGTATTCTCAAGTTGACAAAGGCACTTTGATTTTCGCCACGATCATTAGCAGCAGCACATCCATAATTGCCAGCATGGTAGCGTGCTACACGTTGTAATACAAGTGACCTCGTTGATATGATGACGCCCCAAGATACATTTTGATTGACCAATTGACCCTAAAAAAAATCGAAAAGACGAACAAAAGGAAAAGCAAATGAGAAAAAAGACACAGAAAAGAAGACGAGAACAAACGTTGAAATTTCATTTCACATGCTTTGTTTGCCACTTAAATCTGTTGAATTCGAGCTAAGTTTTTCAAACATCGTTTGTTTGAATTAAATCGAAAATCTTTGTGAAGATAATTTTTTTTTGATATTTGTATTATGCATTGGAAAAAAAGCATGATTGAGAGGAAGTCGACGTGTCGACGTCCACTGTTCTTCCAACCGAAAATTGACAACGAAGGAAAAGCAAAAGAAGATATAACATATAAGATATAACGCTTGTTAGAAGCGAAAAGAAACAGAGGTGGCAGCAGCAAAAAAAATCTTGTGCGGAAATTGAGTTCAGAAACAATTCTGAAAATAATATTGTTCAATTCAAGACCGTGCCCTGCTGATGTCAAATTTATGAACTTGATGAATGGCATAACAAAAATATGACCTCTTGAACTGTCTTCTATGAGTTTCACTTTTATTTTCGTTCTCAATCTCCTCTCCCGCACCCTAAAAAAAAGTGCCAGCCTTGGAACGGAGATGACAAAATGCCAAAAAGAAACTTTTGTTTGCAGATTCTAAATGCCTATTACACTTTTACGCAAAGCTTCTTCCGACTGTGTGTCTCTGCCTCTCTTTCATTCCCTTCGGCCGACTGGGAATTTTCAATTTTTGCATTTCTCATGGTGGTCCGCAATGATTCGTTCATGATTTGGTTCCGCTTTGTTTTTGTTTTGTTTTTTGCTGAAAAGTGTCACCTGCTCGTTGTGTATGCATTTGGTTGGCGAACACCGTTGAATGGTGTTATGTGATGGTTGCCGAAAGAAGAGAAAAAGAACTGACTGAGCAGGACCAGAGAGAAATTTGAGTGAAAATCCGAAAAGAAACATCAACCGAATATGAACATAATTTTTCATGATGCATTTTTAAGTCTTTTATTTGTGCTTTTATTAAATTCGATTTGCATAAAAACCAAATCGAAGTCTTTTGAAGGAATTCGCACCCAAATGCCCTATTTTATGTTTATAGTAATCGCATATTACATTTTTTTTTTCAACTCAAATAGCATTAGTATCATGAATGAAACATTACATGTAGAGCGATGGAGGGGTAGTAAAGAGAGGATGAGGGCGGCGTGAGTGCGTCTATTGTTGGCGCACGCTTGTAATACAGATATCGGATTTTATTGACATTATCACTTTATATTTCTGTTCTCGCAACGGCATCGCAACGACGATATCAAATGCGAAATATTGAAACCATGTGTTGATCGATGTTAATGTGAGTTTACGTATTTACGAGCATACACCGTTTCGAAGCGATTTCATACTATTCTCTCTCTACTACATCCACCGAAATAATAGTCCGCCAATGGTGACACAAGTTGGAGTGGATTCGTAATATTCCTATTAAATGTTGCTCATCGCCATACTCCGTAGTCATAGAAGATTTTGAATTCGTAATTAGCAGATGCGCAAAAACAGACATAATTTCGGCGATAAAATCTATTTTACATTTTATTCGGTGGCAGGCGCGAGAGTGGGATAAACAGAGAACTCGAAGCCCGTGTTGAGTGACTGGGCTGGGCGCGTCATAATGTTATTTGTGTGCGTTGGTTCCAATTGTGTGCTTGAAATTCAAACTTTGAATCGAGCAAACGGAACAATGCGACGAATTATCGTAAAAATTTCTCAGCTGCAGCTCGAATGAACGTGGTGGTGAGCACATTTTGCTGTGTTGATATTACCACAAATGAAAATGTGTATGCTAAAATTAAAATCTCGCTTTCACTGTGCATAGCAAGAGATAGTTGTGAGCGCAACATTTTGTGCACGAGACAGCAAAAGCTATTCATCTATCTTTTGTATACATCTTCTATTCATAAATTTTCGTATTTAGTTGTATACTTACGTCATGATACCAAGTGATGCGGTTTTCTTTGGGGTTCGCTTTAATATGACACTCAAAATAAACATCATCGCCCTCCTTGATATCATCTGGATTTAAAGTTGATCCCAATTGTAAAGTCACTTGCGGTTGGTCTGTTGTCAGCGTCCATGATGATGAAGAAGAAAATGCCCAAGCGAATTGTGTTTGTGATGTGCCGTGCCATGCCGTAAAGTGGGCGAATGAACCGCGAAAAAACGGCCAAACCAGCGACATGAAAGTGGAAAGAAAATAGAAAAGTTAGTCAGGAATTGTGTGTGGGAGAGAGAGAGAGAGAGAGAGAGAGAGAGAGAGACAAAAAGCCGAGCTACGAGAAAATGAGTAATGAAAAATAACATTTTTGTTCGTCAAACTTTATGCCGATTTACAAAAACAGACTCAGAATAAACCAGCGAACGAATGAAGGAACGAAAGAAGATAAAAAAAACAAAAGTTTATCGTTTTGCTGAGCTTCAACATTGGGTGTTCATTTATTTAATTGAATTTTGCAACCTCTATGCTGGTTGCTGGTCAACAAATGAAATGTTCTAGTTTCATCGTTGCTTTTGTTTCATTAGTTCATCGTTTTTGCACCAGGAGTCTTGTACCAAAATATGCATGGCTTGCGGTTTTGATCAATCCTTTTTTCCCGTTCGCTCTCGCTTCTGCCATTTTGCGTGGGAATTGAGAGATTTCCAAGAAACTTTCGCTTTGATTTCATTCACCAAAATACTGCCACGTGATTGTTGTATATCAGTGTTTCTATCAATGACCATCGTCAACGTCAAACGAAACACGCGACTTAATAAGACGAAATTCCTTTACTTATTTTTCTAATTTGCCATCAGTTGAGTGTTCTCCGGGTCTTTTTTTCTTGTTTGTTTAATCAAGCTTTCTCAACTCTTTTTTTCCGTCTCGTCAGCTTTTCTTTCGTAATTAAGTGGTAAAGTTTTGGTGCGTTACCACCACATTTTCATCTACACCTTAGCTCCAAAATAAAATACACATTGAATTGGCCTTCGAACACAAAATCACAGGAATGGAATAGTGTGGGGGAGAAAGCAGAAGTTAGACAGGACAACGAAATGATTTCCTTTGTTTCATCGAAAGTCGCTCAGATGCTGCTCATCTCGTCGTCAGCGTTGCTGTTGTTTTCGAACTGATTGCTAGATATTGAAGCCCATTCCATTGTGTTGATGCGATTCATCGTTAAACCAAAGTTCGAGAACAAAATTGATGAGTTTGTTTTTGCTAACGAATGAACTAGAAGTTCCAATAAAAATCACCAGCACAGAAGCAATGAGACAAGATAACAGCCACCACAGAAAAAAATCCAGTTGGAAAATCGGCACAAATTTTTCGATAACAGATCAAATGAAGCAACAAAAATGTTGTAAAGTTCAATAATTTTAGTTTGAGTAATCGAGTGGCGGCTGCACCTTTTGCAAAATGCGAGCATAGGATAACACGAAAATCGTTTCGAACCATAGGGGTATTGCAACGACCATAAAATATATTTATTTCATCAAATTTATCAAGCTCTTTTCAAGTTTCTGCATAGTATCGAACTTTTGTCCAAGCTCTACCATCTAAATGTACAGTAAAATAATTTACGGGCACGACGTAAGATGGCGTTTTTTCTGGTAAAAAAAAATTGCAATATCCTTTTGTTTCGAACATTCGACAAAGAGTGAAAAATATGAAACAACAGATATTTTAGCTAGGTTTTCTTTCTCCAAATAGTGTGTTAGAATTCATTTTGAAAAAAGGTACAACCATCTCTGAATGGCTAATGGAAAGGAATACATGCACTCGCACCGTCAGTCACACTCGAGTGTTAGCAGAAAGGGCAACAATTCAAGTGGACCCTTTTTCACATTTTTATTACTTTTAAAGGCCCAAATATTTGCTCTTCTGTTGACTATAAATTGTTCGTACATTTTCTAGACGAATGGCCGTCGGCAAAATTATGACAAAAAACGAAATTAAACAAATAAAATGGACAACAAAAAATGTTCACTATAAATTTGCACAAAAGACCGAACTTTTAATATTTAGTTCAATCTTTTGGTCGCCTTTGCAAAATACTTCGACGCAATATTTCTTGAACCATTCGAGTGGCTGCTATCGTTCGCAACGAGATTTGTTGTTGATTAAGCAAATGTTGAAACTGCATTTAAGCACCGAATTTCGTTTATGGCATATCGTTTTATTTTTTGGTACAAGATCATAAGCTAATAGAGTTGTGATTTCTTTATTTTTCACATTCAATTCTTCGGCAGTAAAATAAAATGAGTGAAATAACTTACACATGACGATTAACACTAATGAATCTTCTAATGCCGAATTGGGTAGCCGTGGATTTGAGCCTTCACACTTCAAAATGGTGCCATCATCATCGGGAATCGGGCGAAATATCAGCGTTGATGTCGATACACTTCCATTCGTATGCTGGGTAATCTATATGGAATAAATGAATAACAACAAACAAGTAATTATACAAATTGGCAATCACTCTGGGAAATTTCCTGCAAACAAAAGTCATTCAATGAAAAAGCATTGATAAATGGACGAGGAAATGAAATGCAGAAAAAATGTGCAGATGTTTAACGGCGAGAGCATTGGTACACACACACACACACGCACAGGTACATGTACGGAAAAGACAATTGATTCGCCGAACGCAAAGGGAGTACTCGTTGATCTAATTTATAGACGATACGAAATAGAGAGAGAAAAAAGGAGCACTGTGTACGACGGAAAAAAATGGAACGAACGGGAAATGAGTTCAAAGTTTCTTGCAGTATGTGATTTACAAATGGCCGAAAATCGTTAAAATTGAATACACGAAGGGTGTGCAAAAACAATTGCAAGCTATGCAAATAACGTTCGGCAGCTATTGACGATTACTTAATTTTCAAAAACGTAGTTTACTATGTGGCATTGATGCTGTCCAAGCAATAAATCAGATCATGTGGGATCGTTGTATCCCATATTAAAGCATTACACACGGCTTATACCTAGTCCGTTTGTATTTCCATCAGACAAAAAAAACACATTCATTTTTAATGCTTTCATCGAAAGCATTTTGATGCGTATGCCAGCCAGCGAACGAATGACCGGGAGAGAGAGATGGAGTTGGAGTACAGTTTTTACGCATCAAAATCATGGACCAGTTTTAAGCGTATGATAACATACGTATCTTGAAATGGAGTAGAAAAAAAAAGAATAAACAGACAACAACAACACATAACCTTTCGCAAAATTTAGTACGAGCGGTAGAAAGTAATGCTTTTGAAATGTAATGTGTACAGTACACTCTGCTGCACCATTTGGTTTACGAATGGATGCTTTCCAATGGAAGGCATATGCGGACATTGAACAAATTGACTAAATTATAATTGCGTGCCGACGGTTCTGGTTTGGAATGAGGCCGAAACGCACTCACTCATGGTGAATGAGACACGTTTTGTTTATTTATGCCATTTAATTTTTGATTTTAGGAGTCGATTCTCTCTCTCTCTCTCTCTCCCCGGGTTGTGTTGATCTGATTTTCCCGTATTAACATTTTATTAGCGAAATTCATACACTGTGCAAAAGCGTGCTGTGTATACGTTTACGAAAGCGCTGATAAATACGGTTGCATTACCTCCAATGACTATTTATTGTGCATATGTTGCGGGCGTGTTTCAGTGTTGTATCTGTGCACTGAACCTTACAAGCGAAAACAAATAATGGAATTTCCAAAATCGGGCTGTCATCCGAATTGAAACAAACCAACAATTTCACATCTATTACTTGATTTCGCTTGGATACCACATTGCTACATGATTCGATGTGTGTGTGTGTGTGTATATTTGCGATTCATTTAGATTCCCATTTCATTCGTTATTCATGTACGCATAAAAAAAACGTTGCAAATTTTGTGTGAGTCTGCAAATTTGCCGATTTTTGACAGTTTTGGTATTATAGCACCCGGGCCAACCAACCAGCTAATGGCAGCAGAACAATGCACAAAAACCGACGATTTTGAATTATTACGTTATGAGGCTTTGTGTAATTTTCACATAGTCAAAATCCACAGGCGGTCGCTTTTTATTTATGACACCCATGCAACACCACAGAAACCAACTAATTATGACATTCAAACGTTTTTGATACTCAATTGACCGCTCGCCGTTGGCTTCAGCATACGCTACAAATTTATTATGTTTTAATCGTAATAATCCTTTTGTTGCGCATCCGAGTTTGGTCAATGACTTCATTATGGCCAGAGTAGCTTCTCACTTATGTTCAGCCAATGAAATCTCTTTTTTATGCGTTAAACTCATTGCTTCGTTTTCTTTTAACGATGTAAAATCGAATCTGTTCTTATTTGTTGGCATTAAATTGAAAAATCATAAAGTTGTTCGGCAACAAATAAGCCTACGATCAAATGAATTTGATTTTCTTTATGATTTTGGGTCATATGCTCTAATCTCGTGCAAATACATGTGTGTATGGGCAGCCGCAATTATGCGATGAATTTTTCATCTGTATTTGGCCGTCTGAAAATGACAATCAAATTCAGATATGCAGGCTAACACGTGCACACATATCAAACAAAATAACACATTTCTACGGCTTCAAGACGTAATTTTGGCCTTTGATTTTTTTTTCTCGTTCACCTTTTCTTAAATAAAAAAGCAATATCATTTTATAAGCAGACATTTTACTCACCATTCCTCGTTTAAAAGGTCGATTGTTTTGCGTCCAACGGATTTCCGTTTCAGGTATTGAACCGTCAACTTCACAGTTGATGCTGTACTCAATTTCGGATGCAAAATGTTTTGGTTTTGATGTAATGTTAATCGAAGTAGGTTTCACTGTGTCAAAAAAAAGAGAGAGAGAGAGAGAGAGAGAGAGAGAGAGAAAATGGAAAATATGTGAAAAAAGTAGGTTAAATCGAAAAAAGTGAATAATTCAAAAAAAAATGTCAATGGCATACACAAGTCAATGATCACATTTTCACTGCAGAAAAAATGTATTAAAAAGAACGCCTATTTTCTCTTTTTTCTTCATATGGTTCTGTGGCGTGTATTTTTCGTTGTTGTAATCATTTTTTCCGTTGTGTTAAACGTGGAAAAACGTTATTTTATTGTGTTTCACGATTATTTTTTTTGTTGAGAAAAAAAAAAGAACGAGAAAATGTTCATGGTTGTATACATTTTCTGTTCCTCTGGCTGGTTTTTTCCTGTTGCTAGCGCCGTTTCGGCATTTCTTGACATTGATTTAACTCGGTCGCGTTCGCAAAATGAAACATGCAATTAATGCGCTGTCAGTTATTTTATTTAGATTAGGTTGCATGTTTGTGTGTGCGTGCGCTTTTTCCGTCCTTTATTCTACATCACTCAATGGTTGTCCGTTAAATCCTGCAATCTATTTATCTGCTGAATTTTAATTACATGAAGCGTATGTGTGTGTGTGTGTGTGTGAATGTGTTTCAGTATGGTACGGTACGGTGCTGGGACTTGTATTGAATGCGCAACGTGGGTCGGTGTTGTGAAACAGTGAATTGCACCGGAAAAATGCAGTTCGTCCAGCTCATTGTTATTATTATATGTAGCGAGTACGATTGTGTGACCCTTTTCGTCTAGGTGAGCCTCCCTTTTTTGTTGATGTTTAAGCCCATCAGCTATTTTGGGTATTATAACAAAACGTACATTCCACATGAATGCGTACTGTTCTCATTCAGCTCTTGTTTTCATTCATTTTAATGGGCTGGCTCTCTTTTATTTTGTTTGCACTTTTCAATTGATGGTGCTTTTATAGAAAAGGTATGGATGGACGTTGTTCAACTGTGATATGAAATTAAGTTATATGTTTGCTGTTCATTTCATGCTTTTGTTTGGGTATGTGTGTGTGTGTTCGATGTGTGACGGAATTGCGCTCGGAAAACCCTAAATTTATCATTCAAAAAAAATTGTAACCAATATGAAGTACAACCGACCGAAATGTAAGAAATGCCCCGCAGCAGCAAAATTATTTCGAATTGAATGCGGAAAATAGAGAAGCAAAAGAGACAAAAATTAAAAACGATTCAGGTTATTTTTCGTTTTTTTATTACCGCTTGCTCGCGCTGTTTTTTTCATCTCCATTATGCGCGCAATTTTTCGCAGTTGTCGGTATTTGTTTGGGGATGGTACGCCGCCATACACCAAAATCGAACACGAATATAAATGATGCGGCCATGGTGCGGCTGTTGACACTATATTTTCCTATATTTCGAATTGGCGCGCTGTGTAGTTCCGATTTGAAATGTTAAATTACATTGATGTGCCCTTTGAAATTGGGGGCGCTCGCATCGCCTCAAATGACTTTGACGTTCAACAGCCGCCACACGGATGCGGCGTGTACGATATAAGCCATATTCCAGTTTCTATTAAGCCGATTTCATTTGCATATTTTTCATGTTGAAAATTTTCCACATAAAATTGTGTTTTAAATATTTTCATATTAAAATTTATTCAATTTATCGCAATCAAAATAAGGTTTTAACTAGCGAACATTTCGAAATTGACCGACCGAGTTACTTTGCAACAATGAACTGAGCCGAAACGAAAGCGTTCCCCCATTCGTTTCATTCGCGAATTCGTAATTGAGCGCGAAAAAAAAATTATGACTGGAAAAATGAAGTGAAAAGTAAATTTCAGCAAGGTGTGGCGAATATCCGAACCGGTAGTCGGAACATTTTTGACACGTTAGTTGCAGTTCAAATGTGGTTATGTGCCGGCTTCCAATGGATTTATTGAACTGAATGGGATTTCAAATTGACTGAGCGTTTGTCAAAAATTCAGATTGTGCTGTTGTTTTGGTTTTCATCCTTATCATTGCGCGCATTCAATTAATATTTTTTTCATATTTACCCAATTATTGGTAATCAACACGAAAAATGTGGTAAACTCGAATGCGCAAAATCTTGATTGCATTTGCATAATGGTGTTTTCTCATCAAGATTCAACAAAAATGTGTTTATTTTGTGCCCTCTAAAATCGTATATCACAAAAACTCAGTTGATTAATGATTTTGTATAAAAATCTCCAAGAAATTTTTTTTCTGAACAAACAACCTCTGCATCCGCATACATCAAAACGAATGTAATTTTCAACTTTTAAACTGTGTCAAGCTTAATTTTTCCGTTTGTTCAAAAGTGGTAAATTTTCATCACCATCAATGAAATGAAAAGAGCGTAATTTCGTGGAGACCACACGATGTGAGTCACATAAACGAGAAGAAAGCATATTGAATTCATAATGAAATAGGAATAGGTTTCTCGTGACGCAAACCAGTGTGCGTGTCGTACGCACTGTGTATGTGTGGAGTCGATGTGCTCAAAAGTCACCTTTATTCTATTTTCATTCATTTCAATTTATTGGCGGTTGGTCGATTCGTTTGATTTGAACAGTCATTTATATTCGTCGCCTGTTCATTTTCGCATTCTTTTTTTTTGCATATTCTTCTTCTTTGGTTACAAGCGAATTGTGAACGCTTATTGTCCTGCAAATGAAAAATAAACATGACAAACAGCGCTAAGTGCAAACATATTATCCAAAGCGCGCACCCTCCCAAGCGACCGTCTGATTAATAATGGAACAATATTTATGTGATTTGAAGCATATCACACGATACGAGAAAAAATGGACTTAATGCAATTTTTAGTTTGTAAACGAAAAACGCTGACACTGTTCAGGGTGATAACGAAGCGAAGGCGGCAACGACAGACAAACAGAGAAAAAACATTAAATGGTGAGAATTGTCAAAAGTCGGGCTCATTGAAGGAAAAGAAGAAATATGATGCGGATAAGGAAAAAACGAGGTGAGGAGGGAAAAGGAATAGAATTGTTTCCGTTGTTGTTGAACAATGTACGTTTGCAGTTTGTACTGTCGTTCAGTTCATCACCGTTGAGAGTCGTGTGATTGTCAGGTAGGTGAGAGGTAGAAAGATTTTCATTTCGACTACTTGGCAACAACGTCGCCAGACAGATTTGTATGTGCCACCTCTAGATCTCGAAATGGTGAAATGTCAGTGTCTACATAAGCTTTAAGGTTTAGGTCTTCAGTCGTACAGTTTTTTTCTACTTCTATTGCATATCTTTGGAACTTGAAAAATGAATTGGTGCGTATCCCCGGACGAATTATTCATTTCATTGCTAATAAATGGATTTAATTTTCGGCGGCGACTAGCAACGGAAACCACAAAGGAAAAAACAATCTATCGGATAATATCTCAATTTGAACCTATATATAAATGATAAACACTTACGTAGCATATCCAGTCGTACGATGCGTTCAACAGGCGGTGCCAGTTTTGTGTTCGATGCCTGGCATCTCAATGTGCTGTTGTAGGCGTCTCTGGTCAGATGTGGAATTTCCAGACGATTAACAACTACATGGCGGCCCATTGTAATGCCGCCGGTCGTTTGAATCGGTTCGCTTCCGTTGAACCATGATACAGTTGGCTCAGGTCGACCTGTAAAATAAACGATATCCAATTTAATTGAATTGAATTTCAAAGCTACACGCGATTCAATCTAACTAACTACCCATTTATGTTACTGTTCATATCGTAATTAAATTATTTTTCTGTTTATTTTGTGGTGTAACGCTATACCATTGATACAATGTTGCAACAGTATTAAAATGGATTGCTGCCACATGTAATGCAAACACAAATTTTTTCCATCGATCATTTTTATTTCGGGAATTGGAATGCCATAATTTATGTTTTGAAAGTGAGTGTGCACTGTGCATGTATGTTGTCGGTTGATTTTATGCGCACTATCAGCGGTCATGTCAATGCGAAATGGAATGCGAAATGGAATGCAATTAAATTGCCGTAAAAGAGGTAGTGCGATTCGGTTTGCCAGAGTGCTAAAAACAATAATAATGGTAATTATTATGCAGTTCGAATGTGCATTCTAAACACACGCCACAGTAACAGTAGCATCAACCATTTGAACTTTTATTGGGAAAAAATAAACTCCCCAACCCATATGCGAATGCGCGTTTTATATTCTGGGAATGTTATCGAATTCACACCGCCATTGTTTTATACCGCAACCGTTACAATTTCGAAAGTTGACAACTTATCGATTATTTACATTGAAACTTAGTAAGAAGTATGCAAGCGTCTTGTTTTTCCCTATGTGACACACACACACACAAACTTTCTTTCCATCTGTAACTTGCAGAATTGTGCGCACAAATATCAAAATACTGAAATTAGTTTGGAATTTTCGATGGAATCGAAACTGTGCACTGGCAATATCTCGCAACACATTCCACAAATGGGTTTGTGCTAGTTTGGTATTTGGTATACGAGGCGCGTATGTGCGGATATGTTTACGTGATAATTAGGTTTGTCAACCAGTGCACATACTAATCGAATGCATTCGCAGAATTTACTACACCAGAGAATATTACTTTCTCTCGAAATTATTTCCATCGATTGGAATTTTACCCACAACGCTATAAACCGAGTGAAAATTTCGTTTTCATTCACATCACAAAGAGATTGTTGAGCGTGTCCAATCGATTTTGTTCGTTTCATTCCTTTTTGCAGTGTGTGAATCACAAGGCAAATACAATAGACGTCAACAGCGAGTACAACTACCATTTGGTTTGACGTTTTGCTATTAAGTTAGTTTAAGTATCTTAAATGTAAGTTAAGTTAAAGTAAAGTACTGAGTTTCATGTCAAGTCCACTGTTAAGTCTAAGGTTTAGACTTAATAGTAGACTTGACATGAAGCTCAGTTCTTTTAATGATTTCTACAAAAATCAATAGATGGCGTTAGGGGTCTAGCATTTGCCTTGTGGTGTGAATTGCAGAATGTGGAAAAGGCCAAACAATTCCACTTCAAACACTCTACGAGATAGTTTTCCATGTGATTTGTATAAATTCGCTCAATTTTCTCTTTGAGAGAACACTTTTCAAAATAAATGGCGTCGCACTGTTTAGAAATTTCGGAAATAATTTAGAAATTCCGGGAAAAATTTCATGAAATTCCATTGCTTCCTTCCGTATGCTAACTACAGCATCACTTTTGTTGTTCGGTGGTTCCTAGGGTGGTTCATGTTAATTTTCACATGGTAAAATGCTCAAAAACACAAACAATAATTTTCAATTAATATTCAACAGAACAGTTTTTACTTCATTCTATCGGTGATTCGATTTTTAGTCGTAATCCTCCGAACAAATAAAAAAAAACAGTCCCACATCCAAAAGACTGAATGCATACATTCCGATAAGGCTTCATACAAATTCAAAATGAAACGTGTTTTCGTTGTGCTTTACAATTTTGACGGTGGTATGCATTTATGTTTTTGTTATGATATCAAACTAGGGGATAGACTAATACCATTCCAAAAAGGAGAGCAAAAGAGAGGGGGAGAACGAGAGCTTCGTTCGTTGCCACATGTTCCATATTATTCCCCAGCCCATGTTTATATTCCGAATTATTTATTTGTATACTTTGTGATGTCCAATCCCCCGGAAATTTCATGTAATTATGTGCTCATGTGTTTGTGAATGTTTCACAATTCATTCGAATCGAATGGGACAAAAGAAACGACGGTGATCGCAATTCGTTGTGTTCAAATGCATTAAGTGCACGTGCAATGGCATTCGAATTGGCCAAATCGACTAATGAAATCATTTTTCGAAAGAAAAAAAATGAGTATAAACACGAAAATAGCACGGCTCGTGCATACAGTTAGTTCCATGGTGAGCATTAGACATTCAAGCCTCGCAATTTGTGTATGCTATGAATATTTTGTTGGAAATACAATTTGCGATGCGTGGTTTTGATAAAAACATCAAATACAATATATGGATTCATGGTGGCGCGCAAATACACAAAGCGCGTCAGCGTTTCCATTTAAAACTGTTTGGTGTGGTGGTCTGTCGTTTACTTTGGCAAAACAATTGGCGAGAGTGAGTGTGTGTGTGTGTGTGTAGCTGAGAGTGCGAGACACGTATGCTTGCGGTTCGATGATAGTGAAAATTAGCAACCATGAATTTGCCAGCGCAGCACACCCATTTAGATCAGATAGTTAATTGGAAATTAACCAATTGCCAGCCAATTTGAATTATTGTGTATTGAATTGCGTCCATTGCACATTACTCATTACATTTATCAACAAACATTAATTTGTCTCGATGAAATTTTATCTTTTGATTTCGAATCGTAATTAAGATGTAATAATTATACCACCGATGCGGAAAAAAAAGATATATTGCAACTGCTTTTCATCATGTTTTATCAAAAAATTTTCGTTTGCGTTGTTGTTCATAGCATGGACATAATATATTCATCCATTAAATGTATGAATGATTTATTTTTTGATTAATTTCTCGTTCCATTTAATTGATTGGCTGAGGTGTGTAATTCATAAAATAAAACACACTCACGCATTTACCCACGCACAAAAAAAAACGTTTTGGTTTGCTATTGAAACGCTAAATACGGACCAATTGCAGCTCGCCTTTATTAATTACCTAATGTATATAATCTCTTGTATGGCTTCAAATCGCCCGAAACATGATGCTTTGATGCGCAACAACAACTGACCGATCGACCGACCGACCAGACAGCCAAACTGAAGCCGATGTCAGCAAAAAATTACACAATTGTTTTTAGTTGCATCAGTCAAATAAAAACGAGCTGATTTTCATACGGGTATAATATCAATAACATAGAATTGACCAGAAGCTCAAGCGCAAAAATGCTAAAACGATCGATACGTTATTGCAATTTTACGTGCACTGAAAAATAAAATAAACAACATTGAGTAATTTGGATACGCAAATGACTTGAACGTGTGAAATTGACAAAAAAAAAACAAATGAAATTGCAAAATAAATATAAATGTACCGAGACAGAATGAGAGAAACAGCAAAGGGAGAGAGGGGCAAAAAAACCGATCAGCATCGTACAAAAATGGAGAGAAAAAAAAACGTGCATCAAACATTAAATCGAAAATAACAATAAATTTTCGGTCGGTTGGTAATAACGTGAAATTTTTATTTGAAACGTGTGTAAGCGAGTGAGTATGAGTATGTGTCTTTACATGTCTGAACTCTGGAAATTGGATATTTATTGGAAGTTCGCCCGTGCCATCCGTTCGTACAACAAAACACCCCGCTCACTCACACACAAACACACCAATTCATGGATTGGCTGAAGCAGATTTATAGCAATGCCAACCGAAATTGAAATCCTGATGTTTAAATCATTATTCCGTAATTGCAGTTTTGCGTAAATTAATATATTTCGAAAACATTGACATTTACATTTTGAAACATTGCGCTTTTTCTCGCAATGTCCTAAATTGAAGAGAAAAATACACAGTAGCAGCAGCGTCATGAACCTAATAAAAAACCGAAGCAGCGAGAAAGCGTGAGAGAGAGGTCCGTGTGGTAGAAAGAGAAAACTCATTCATTAGTAATTACTCTAGCCACTGCTGTTTAATCATATTGAAAGTAATCTGGTGTTTCGTTTTCACGAAGACGACAACGACAGTAGAGAAAGAGAGAGAGAGAGAGAGAGGGGGAGAGAGAGAGAGAAAGAGAGGGAGAGTAAAAAACGATTCTTCAATGAAAAAAAGAGAAGCACATTTACGGTCAATAAGCTGGGTTCATGGTCTAAGGATAAGATCTAGGAATGAAAATTAATTACAGTAAATGAAAAGCGAAACCATTACTTTCGGTTGGCGTTTGTTTTAAATTTCGAAAACCATTGAAAATGAAGGGCATCCGCGTGTTTGGCCAACGCTTAGATGTATGCCAGCAGTCGTTGTGCCAAAGTGCGCGCATTCAAAATGAGGAAAAACAAACCTCTTTTCTCTTATAGCAAGCAATATAAGTAGCAACACAAAAAAAAAACAAATAATAACCAAATACAAAGTTGCAAATGAAGACCAAATTCCACTCGAATAATCACTTTTATGCGTATGTTGAAAATCACTCATTGTATTCATATTTCCCGAACGCATACACGCACATACAACAACGGTCCATCATCAAACTTCAACACCAACATATTTTTCAGTTATAAACAAATGGCTATCGCCGAAAAAAGGAATGTAATAAATTTTATACTTTTCAATAACGTAGAAATTCATTTTGGGACCATTACAGTTTGAATTCATTACACGAATTTTTCCGCGAATTTTAGTTCCTTTGTTCTTTCGAAATGAAATCAAGCACACAATGAAAATGAAACGCAGGCCAACATCCAAATTCTCACACAGCACCATACACACTCGTTTCGATCTGCTTGACCGCACATTCTCTTCCCGATACCATACCCAATATACCATTGCATTGCATTAAATGCTATAGATACTTTGACCAACTTTCACTTATTTTTTTTCCTCTGGTGAATGCTGTCTCGTGAATTTGCTCTGAATACCACCTAATCTACAATTGAAATCTCGATCGAGAAAATATTTCCGAATTAGCTTTAGCA